ATCAGAACCAGACTCATGATGAACAGAAACCTGGATCAGAACCAGACTCATATTGAACAGACAGAAACCTGGATCAGAACCAGACTCATGCTGAACAGACAGAAACCTGGATCAGAACCAGACTCATGTAGAACAGAAACCTGGATCAGAACCAGACTCATGATGAACAGAAACCTGGATCAGAACCAGACTCATATTGAACAGACAGAAACCTGGATCAGAACCAGACTCATGATGAACAGACAGAAACCTGGATCAGAACCAGACTCATGATGAACAGAAACCTGGATCAGAACCAGACTCATATTGAACAGACAGAAACCTGGATCAGAACCAGACTCATGCTGAACAGACAGAAACCTGGATCAGAACCAGACTCAAGATGAACAGAAACCTGGATCAGAACCAGACTCATATTGAACAGACAGAAACCTGGATCAGAACCAGACTCATGTTGAACAGACAGAAACCTGGATCAGAACCAGACTCATGTAGAACAGAAACCTGGATCAGAACCAGACTCATGATGAACAGAAATCAGGATCAGAACCAGACTCATATTGAACAGACAGAAACCTGGATCAGAACCAGACTCATGTAGAACAGAAACCTGGATCAGAACCAGACTCATGATGAACAGAAACCAGGATCAGAACCAGACTCATGTTGAACAGACAGAAACCTGGATCAGAACCAGACTCAAGATGAACAGAAACCTGGATCAGAACCAGACTCAAGATGAACAGAAACCTGGATCAGAACCAGACTCATGATGAACAGAAACCTGGATCAGAACCAGACTCATATTGAACAGACAGAAACCTGGATCAGAACCAGACTCATGTAGAACAGAAACCTGGATCAGAACCAGACTCATGATGAACAGAAACCAGGATCAGAACCAGACTCATGTTGAGCAGACAGAAACCTGGATCAGAACCAGACTCATATTGAACAGACAGAAACCAGGATCAGAACCAGACTCATGTTGAACAGACAGAAACCAGGATCAGAACCAGACTCATGTTGAACAGACAGAAACCTGGATCAGAACCAGACTCAAGATGAACAGAAACCTGGATCAGAACCAGACTCAAGATGAACAGAAACCTGGATCAGAACCAGACTCATGATGAACAGAAACCTGGATCAGAACCAGACTCATATTGAACAACAGAAACCTGGATCAGAACCAGACTCATGATGAACCAGAAACCTGGATCAGAACACAGACTCATGATGAACAGAAACCAGGATCAGAACCAGACTCATGTTGAAGCAGACAGAAACCTGGATCAGAACCAGACTCATATTGAACAGACAGAAACCAGGATCAGAACCAGACTCATGTTGAACAGACAGAAACTGGATCAGAACCAGACTCATGATGAACAGAAACCAGGATCAGAACCAGATCTATTGAACCAGACGAAACCTGGATCAGAACCAGACTCATGTTGAACAGACAGAAACCTGGATCAGAACCAGACTCATATGAACAGAAACCTGGATCAGAACCAGACTCATGTTGAGCAGACAGAAACCTGGATCAGAACCAGACTCATGTAGAACAGAAACCAGGATCAGAACCAGACTCATGTTGAGCAGACAGAAACCTGGATCAGAACCAGACTCATATTGAACAGACAGAAACCAGGATCAGAACCAGACTCATGTTGAACAGACAGAAACCAGGATCAGAACCAGACTCATGTTGAACAGACAGAAACCTGGATCAGAACCAGACTCATGTAGAACAGAAACCTGGATCAGAACCAGACTCATGATGAACAGAAATCAGGATCAGAACCAGACTCATATTGAACAGACAGAAACCTGGATCAGAACCAGACTCATGTAGAACAGAAACCTGGATCAGAACCAGACTCATGATGAACAGAAACCAGGATCAGAACCAGACTCATGTGAACAGACAAGAAACCTGGATCAGAACCAGACTCAGATGAACAGAAACCTGGATCAGAACCAGACTCAAGATGAACAGAAACCTGGATCAGAACCAGACTCATGAATGAACAGAAACCTGGATCAGAACCAGACTCATATTGAACAGACAGAAACCTGGATCAGAACCAGACTCAGTATGAACAGAAACCTGGATCAGAACCAGACTCATGATGAACAGAAAACCAGGATCAGAACCAGACTCATGTTGAGCAGACAGAAACCTGGATCAGAAACCAGACTCATATTAACAGACAGAAACCTGGATCAGAACCAGACTCATGTTGAACAGACAGAAACCTGGATCAGAACCAGACTCATGTGAAGACAGAAACCTGGATCAGAACCAGACTCAAGACATGACAGAAACCTGATCAGAAAACCAGACTCATGAATGAACAGAAAACCTGGATCAGAACCAGACTCATGATGAACAGAAACCTGGATCAGAACCAGACTCATAGAACAGACAGAAACCTGGATCAGAAACCAGACTCATGTAGAACAGAAACCTGGATCAGAACCAGACTCATGA